GTCCTTTATTTAAATCACATAGAAACGAATTGATACACTCACTATTGTTAATTGTGAAAGATACTTGTGATGTAAATATTGACCTGATGCTAGTTGGAAATGCAAGTTTACCTAATCATGTGAACAAAAGCATTTTTAGGAATGTACATACATATAAAAAGAAAACAAAAAGGTTTGAGTGAGCAGTGTGAATGTACATACGTTTCTCTATCTCTTTCCTTTCCTTTCTGTCATTTGATTTATTAACTGTAAATAAGCATACATGTAAATTTATGGGAGAGGGCGTTCTAAGTTGTGATAACTTGTGCCCGATCCTTTTCATGAGAATAAAATATGTTTAAACTAAACCAGTCCCACCGCGGCCACCCAAAGGGAGGTAACGCCGACCTCATGGACCACAAGTGAATTGCCAGACAGGCACGACTGGGACCTCCCACCCCCAGCCGTCCAAGTTGTCAACACCCCAGTGGGAGACTGAGTCGCCTCTGGCAATATTGGGAGATCCTGGGGGACCCATATGTCACCATCATCATCCGACACGGGTCGTCCCCCATAGTGGACACATATACCCAACAGCAGCTACTGAGCCGGAACATCACGGCGCTGCTAGACAAGAAAGCCATAGAGGTTGTACACGCCCCAGCCATAACACCGGGCTTCTACTCACCTGTCTTCCTGGTCCCCAAGACCCAAGAAGGACTCCGACAAACACAGGATGATCCACAACCTCGCCGCTGTCAACAAACGCTACCTGGCGCGTCCACCTTATTTCAGGATAAAGGTCAGGCTACTGCGATCCTAAATCCAGGCACAGGAGGCGCTCATCAGCCTGGATACCGAGGACGCCTACCTACATGTCCCTATACATCCCGACGACCGGAAATTCCTCCGCTTCATCTTCATGGGAGTCCATTATCAATGGGTGGTCCTCTCATTTGGAATTTCTTAAGCCCCGTGGCTATTCACACGGCTTACCAAGCCGATAGCCTCGTACCTCCATTGCCGGGACATTCAGTTCGAGACGTACATAGACGACTGCCTACTGGACCATCGGGACACTATCACTCTACTCCGCCACAGGGACTTCACCCTCCGGCTCCTACACCAGCTGGGTGGGAAGATCAACCTCAGGAAGTCAAGAGTTGACACCCTCCAATCGCCTTCAGTTCATTGGGGGCCTCTTCTAGACAGACCTCGATCTCATCTCTGTACCCAGACTCCAGCTTTCCACCTACCACACACTCTGCGCCAATGGCAAGTACTCCTGGTATTAACCTCAGCGCAGGACTTGACCTTCAGGAAGGCTCCAACAGCACCCAGTTCAGATGTTCCTGGCTCGCTACATCAGGCGCCAGGACCCCTCTGTATCCATCGTCCTCCCGGATCATCTCAAGTAGCATTTCCGATGTTGGACGGTGGAATCGAATGTCTTAGGTGGCGTCACCTTGACAGGGCTTATGACCTCTCTGCGCCTATTCATAGACGCGTCCCTGCAGGGATAGGTGGCACACCTAGAGGGACAGGTCACCTCGGGGCTGTGGTCTGCCGATCAGCACCTATGGCATATCAACAACCTCAAACTGGAAGCGCTTATCTTGGCCATCGCTCACTGGAAGCAGGCCCTCAGACACGCCTGGGTCTCCATTTCGATGGACAACATCACTGTCGTATGGTGCCTTCGGAACCAAGGAATGACTCATTCGACTTCGCTCCTTCAACAGACGTTCCGATTGTTTCTCCTGGTGGATCATCTGGGGATTCAGTTCCAGGTTCAACACATCCCGGGCTGCCGAAACATCCTAGTGGATGCTCTATCTCGACCAGGCAAAGTGGCTCCCACAGAGTGGAAACTTCACCTTGACTCCTTCACTCTTGTTTGTTGAGACCACGGTCTCCCCAACATAGACCTATTCTCCACCAGCCAGAACTACCAGATCCAAACCTACATATCGCTGGTCACGGATCCACTGGCTTGGGCAGTCGATGCTTTCGACACTGAACCTCGATCTGACTTTGGTCGCGCCCTGGTGGCCAGCGAGGGCTTGGTTCGTTCACCTCAGAGAGCTGTCCAACGCCAACCCACTGCCACTCCCAGTTTAGCCAAATCTGCTGATCCACCCTCACAGCAGACAGGAGCAGACAGGTTATATCTTTAGTCTGGTCCATTAACAGAGTGCACTGAACGCCAAAGGCTACTTGGCCAGAGCGGCTAGGGCCATCACGATGGCACATCGCCCAACTATCAGGAGCCTGATGGCAATCCTTCAAGCGCTTTTGCAGGGGCAAGCAACAAGACCCCACATCTGCATCGCCTTAATTCCTGGCCGAGTTCATGCTCCATCTGCGTCACAAGCGTAAGCTCAAGGGCAGTACCACCTACCTTCTGGCAAGATTGACGCATGACATAAATCACGGCTCTGCTCCGCTCATTCAGACTGGAAGACCAAAAGGCGAAGTTCCGTCCCCCAGCTTGGGACTTGAACGTCATTCTCACCTCGCTGAGAGACGCGCCTTTCGAGCCACTCGAAACGTCGTCATTCTACAATCTGACGAAAAAAGATGGTCTTCCTACTGGCGCTCGCCACAGCAGCCCGTGTCAGTGAGCTACACGCCCTGGATGTCACACGGGTCCACTTTGAGCAGGGAGCACACGGAGTCGTGCATCTGGGCCTGTGATTGGGGTTCATCGAATGTTGGCGCGGAAGACGAACTAGAGGTACGTCTATGTCCGGTTAGAGCGCATCCAACGTTCCAAGGAACGCCATGACAACGACGACGCCTCTTCGTACCGGTTTCTGACCTCGCGAGCGGAAGTCAGCTGCAACACGATCGCCCTGGCTATGAGCCATCATCCTCCAGGCCTACCAGGCTGCGGGATTGGACCCCCCACGCTCCAACAACCTGCATAAGATCCGGGCGGTCGCCTCCACCATGGCGCTACACAGCAACTGCTCTCTACGTGCCATCATGGAGGGATGTTTCTGGCGATCCAACACAGTCTTTGCCAGTCACTACCTGCAAGACGCACATTGGAGGATGTGCAAGGCACGCACAGCTTTGGTCTGTTAGTAGTGGCCCAGCAGGTCCCCTGGCATAAGCCCTGAACTAGAAGGTTCATGCCTCATTTGCATACGGCTCGGTGCTCCAATCTCGACCTAACTGAGCGTTATTGTCAGGCTGCCAGTACTAGGACACAACGCATACCTGACTCTTCCCTTCCATGTAATGGTCATCCAGGCCGACCACAGCCGAGGACGGGCTGAGGGAATTGGAGGTTCCCATACATGGAGTGGTCACCCGAAGCCGACCACACAGCCAGGGATTGGCTAGGGAACAGAGTCTGGAAATAAAGATGAAAGTCCACATCTGAAGGTATGCCCTCCTCCGGTTCCGTCTGATAAAGATGCATTAAGGAGCGATGCAGGATAAGTAAAAAATCTAGTAAAATCCTAGATATTTTTTATATTTGTATACTTATCCTGCATTACTGCGTCTAAGGGGACCCACCCATCGCAGATCTACCTCCCCACGATGCCTTCCGATGTGTCGGACTCCAGAGTAATGTGAGGATCCGTGATGTCACTTCCTTTGGTCACATGGGAGCTGCGTGATCGGTTGGAGCAACTTCTTCAGGCAAAGACCTTCACACAGCTCTTTTCTCTGTCAAGAACAAGCAATAATATGCATTAAGGAGTAATGCAGGATAAGTACACAAATATAAAAAATATCTAGGATTTTACTTGTATTTCTGTCCTCAGTTTTTATGTAGAAGCTGTTTGAATATGCTGACAGCAACTTTTGACTTTGAACTGTAGTCATTTCACTACATATCCAGTTGAGCTACAGTGCTGTGTCATAATTTTTCTGATGAAAAATACTCAATGATTATTGTGTACAGACATCTTCTCAATTGCATTACCTTCTTTAGGATGGGACCCTGATTTGAAAAGATTTTTAGTCAAAGGTCATGGTCAGTGTTAAGGTTTTTGTAGAACATGGTTATATCACTATGAGTTTATGAAGCATGGTTACCTTAACAGGCATGGAACTTATATTTACATGTATCTTCAGAAATCCAAGCACATAAAATGTCAAGTGTGTTTATCATGTTCTGTCATATGTCAAGGACACCTTGGAGGGAAGTGGCAAGAGCAGTTGAATAATTTTCTCTTTTGAATATGCTTCTCTTTAAGCAAGTACTTGCAAACACCTCTGGTTTGAAAAATGTTTTCCATGATTTGATACTTGGAGATAATCCCCCTACTTTGTTAACAAATATAATATGTTGCACAGAATTAATGTATGCATTGGTTGACAGTTTTACACTTTACCATTCATTCTCAAATCTGATAACAAACAACTTATGGTGATTCTAGTCATGTTAAAAACCAAAAAGACTGTTGCTTAGAAAATGGAAGAGCGGCTGCCTGAAGAGCGAAAGATCAAGGGTTCGACATAAAAAAAATGGTACTTGTTGTTACTGTGCCTGGCACACTGCATTAAGGGACTAAAGCAAGGACTGGTGGGAGCGTATTCATGTTAACCTGAGGCATGGTATTGTGGGCTAGCACTATATAATTAAACCTGACTGGCGCACGCACATGCACTAGCACGTACGCATGCACACACACGTTGCTATGTATAAAGTGTAATAATCTTGAATGCGATGCTAAACCCCGATATGAAATATGACTTATTTTTATGACTTTCTTTTGTCAGCATATACAACAAAATATTAGGTTGATCAAAACAGGTATGACAAAATGTTACGAGAAAAAACCCATTGTATCCAAGTGATGGGTTGTCTTTTTTTCATAATGTCTAGTTTGGCAAGCCCTCACCCTCAAATGTGATGTCAGTGAAAAAAGTTGAGCTTCTGTTCCATGGTACTTAGGTTAATAGTGCAGAGGAACATTTTTCCTCATTGTTTAATGTAAAGGGTCATTTCTTGTTTCTTCATTTTCATTTCTGTACATCATATCCATTTGCATTTTCTTCAGGTACCTGTTTGACATCCAGAGGGACTTTTAAAAGGGGAAGTAAGTCTGCTGGGCACATGACTGCCCTGTTGGAGGCAGAATCTGAACAAGTGCACGTCATGGATGGTGCAGTCAGGCCAAAGATCCTGGCAACAGGTCGAGACCGCCCAGCATTTAGACATCCCCAGCATACGCAGAAGGCATTTGAGTCACTCAATCAGATGCGCAAGTATGATGTTCTTTCAATATGCCTGTAGTACACAGCAAATGTAGCGGATGGGTGTGGGGGTAGCTTAGTGGTTGAGGCATTCACTCATTTCTGGTGTCCCCTGCCTTGGAATACTGCTAAATCAGTGTAAAACTATACTCTCACTCACTCATAGCAAAGGTGGATCATAAAAAATGTCAAATGGTGCGTCCACTTATCAGTCGGAAACTGGTTCAGACTTGTTTGTAAGTTTCCAACATATCAACACCTCTATTATCTTGGACTATGCTATTTGTAAGATTGATTATTGGCTTACATGCTTGTCAGTAAAAATATTTTCAGAAGCGCTTAACCATTATGCAGACACATTTTAAAATGTAATGAAGTTTGGTATATTGCAGTTTTTAGGTCTTGATTTGACCCGGCACTTTGACCATGCACATACATTCTCTCAAAATCCTGAAATATTGCCTCAATCTTTCTTCGAATAATGATATCATAGAGTGTTCTAGTCCATGAAGTATTATGGCTACTTTTTTTTGCTGAAGATAACTAAACATATTAATGAACATTTAAAACATCTCATTCTCAAGAACCACGAAAAAACTAAAAGAATGTGTGAATAATGATAAAGCCTGTGAAGTAGTTTAAAGTTTGTTTAAGCACAGGAATCTGAAGTTCTAATACATATTGAATGAAGGAACCAAAGCTATTCATAGTTGACGATACAGTCTTGAATTATAGAAATGGGCTCCAGCCAGCTGGCATGTTTTGTTTCCAATCTCATTAAAATCAGATCTAAGTTCTCGCTGCCGCTAATCAAAGATCTGAGGACATCCAATTACGGGTCACGTCAGAACAACCTTTTGCAAACTTTGACCGACCCCTGAATTGACTAACAAGAAGTTGACATCAGCCAATTAGAAAGCAGCTTTCTCGAGCTTTATGGCACTCGTTTCAACCCGGTGACTTCCATTTCAGACAATGCTTGAAAAATAAGTTGACACAGTTCTCGATTATAATTTTGAAAACTGAAAAAACGAACATTCCAGAATGTCTAATATATGGTTGAGATTGTATGGCAGTGTTTCCCATTGGTTTCGTTTCCAAAGCATAACTCAAAAGAGTTGAGTATTTCCCCATGAAGCTTTGTACACACAATAGGCATGCATTGAACTGATGCCTCTTGCTATTCAGGGATTTACTAATTTTCCCTTATCTTGACACATACATAATTTGTTCATACTTTCTCTTCCCGAAGTCGTGTGGAAACCTTTTTTGCAGTGATCCGAGTGACCAAAAAGTAACTCACCCAAGCGCAGCCCTGACATGGGTATACGTACCAGAACCCTGTTACCAACCGTCTGACTCATCTCTTTCTAATTTTCTCCAAAAACTAGCTGGAGGCCTCTTGCTGGTGCTCTTACAATCCAAGCCATCCTTCATTATTCTGGCCTTTCTGATTTAATTTGTGGTTGGGATTATATTCTTTAGACCTTTCTCTATCATTTTCAATGAATAATTTTCAAAATTGACATTCGTCCTGCCACAGAATTTCTCTGTCTTCGTCCTCCTACGGCTTCACACACTTACTTGGTTGCCAGTGTTACGAACAGCTTCTTTTGGCTATGCAGCAGCCTATGTTGACAGTGTCTTCATTCGTCATGCTGATTCCACAGCACCTAACCCCAATGCTTCTTACCTCCTTCAAGAGGAGGATGTTTTTGAGCCCGACTACGAGGAAGAGTCTCCTCAAGTTGAAGAATTCCCATCCACCTTTGAGGATCATGAGTTTTTGGCATGGGTAGCTGATGGGTTACCAATTTCATCCCCCTGCAGAGATACTCCTACGAGGGAGACCTGCTGCATAAAGGGGACGATAGTGACACCTAATTCTAGAGGCACCTTTCCTTACGAACATCCTCAGAAAGGGTTACAGACCACCTCTCAATCTGCCGAAATTTCAATATCTAAAGGCACTCCAGGTTGAAAGAGGTGATTGGCAGTCAGGTTTTTATTCACCAATCTTCTAAGTCCCCTAAAAGAACTTGTTTAATCTACAACATGAGCCAGACAAATTCAGAATGATCCACCTTCCTCAACTAACACAAATGATAATGCAGAACGATTACTTGGGAAGCATTGACCCTTCAAGATGCTTACCTTCACACCACAATCCACTCTGCCTCCAGGAAATATCTGTGCTTCCTTTACAAAGGCCAAAATTATTAATGGAAACTCCTACCCATTGGAATTTCAGCAGTGCTATGGTGGTTTACATGAGTGACCACACCAATCATGGCCTTTCTTCACAAGGGGATCTGTTGCGCTTTTAATCTTGATGACCTGATTTCAAGCTCATCAACAAGCTGAGCTGCTCAGGCTTCAACTGACACTTACTAATATAACCACAGGTAAAAACATGTAGAGAATTAAACACTATCATAGTGACGACAAGGAATGGTATTTAAAAGTGTATGTATAAATATATATATATTTATCATTTAACTAAAGCATTTATCCATGACATAAGCATATGACATAGAAACATGTATGTCATACCCCAATGACATAAGTATGCAAATTAGACAACCGAAAGTGGGACTTTTTCGCTGGTGCACATGAGCAGGTGTTTGCAACATGGATACCTTTGATGTTGGAGACAATGTTTTAATAGATCAAAGGGGAAGTGCTACAGTGATATCTGTGTTGACAAATGGATATTACAGGTTACAGGTTGATAGTACTGTGACTGTGATGAAGGCCGATTATCAAAACTTCCCTGTGGCCAATATTTCATCATCGAAATGCCATCATCGTGCACAGCGAAGCAGATGACAAACACAAAGCCAAAAGATGCCCAAGGTAGATTTGTGGCTGTTGAGGACAGCATGATCGATGGTGTGATCCTAGACAATCAAAACAAAAACACAGATAAGAAAACTTTGTATGATTTGAAACTGTTTGATAACCTTCTAAAAGTCAAAAATGAAATTCGCCAAATGCATGAAATCCTCCCAAATGAACTAGACACACTTCTCTGCAAGTTTTTCATTAGTGTTCGAAAAATTGGGAAAATTATGAACCAAACAGTCTCACAGGTTTTCAGAGCAGCAACGAGAGATTACTAAAACGAAGGGGGTATGGCTATTCACTCACGTCATCTTTGGAATTTTCACGATCGCGGGAAGTATTAAAGGGGAGAAAAATTGAACTAAAGAAAGAAGGGCGTGGCAATTTACCAAGGAGAGCCGACCCAATTGATGATGAAGAGATCGAGTCCCTGTGGCAGTCCGGAACCATTGGAATCAGTTATCCAATGAGCATAATAAACAGTCCATGGCTCTACAACACAATCCATTTCGGGTTTAGAGGTGTCAGTGATCAGTACAACATGTGTTGGGGGGGGACATCACCTTGCATGTTGATGGAGACGATCACAATTATCTTGAACTCTCAATGAGTCAAGAAAATTAAGGTCCAGTGGTGAGAATCCTCGTGATTGTTGCGACGGAAGGTTCAAAATGTGGTCCATTGTTGCTGATCCCTCTCAGTGCCTTGAGCAGGTGTATAAGTTGTATGCCTCCATGCGTCCACTCGACTTCTGTCTAGATGACATTCCCTTTTACATCGGCACACACACTTTAGGCATGCCTAAACTTGGCGATCACTGGTTTATCCGCTATCGTATTGGGAAAAACAAACTTTCCTCTCTCATAAAAAAACATGTGCGATGCTGCCAGTCTCCAAGCATCGAAACGACTCACAACTCACTCTGCGTGCAAACACCTGGTGCAAAAGTTGAATGACAATAATGCTCCGCCAAATCAAATAATGCAGATAACTGGCCACAAAAACATCCATTCTGTGAACAATTACTGCCATATTAATCCTAACCAGCACAAGCAAATATCCAACATCATTTCTCGATACACTCTACATCTGTGACATCCCAGCTTGTTGATGAAACTCCCGTCATGCAGAGCGGCCCCTTGCGTAATGTCCAAATTGACAGTAGATAACACAGTCAGAAGTCTCAAATAATAAGTATTGCTGGTTGTGTCAACACTATGTTTGCTGGCAACATTACTGGTGGAAACATAACAATTAATCTCGTTAAACCTCCAAGCCCAGTCCCAGTCAAAAGATGCCGGATTGTCATTGAAAGTCATAGTGACATCAACTTATGAATGAATCCTCTATCTTGAACTTTGTAAAATTTAATATTTTTTACTTATCCTGCAATACTCTTTAATGCAGTTCCTGCTTACCTTATGACAAAAAGAGACAGCGATTGTCCTGGGTGAAAGAGAAAAAGCTATTTCTTAACTTATCCCTCCACAACAGCATCCAATATTCCTTCTTGCTTCAATCATATAACAGTGTAGAACATTGTGAAAACAACCCTCACCGGGACAAACCCTCCAACCACCTCGCACACAGCATGCTCCTGCACTTATCAGTTTTTCCTTTGTTTGCTTCCACTCAACATTTATGATTGGATTTGTTCTTCATTTCAGTTTGGGTTGTATATCTCCCTATGTACATTTATCTACGGGTTCCTAGCCATTCCCTCTCAGTAAATATCAAGTAAACGGCTACTTACCTTCCGCTAACATTTCTTTCCCCACCATTGTTAACATACCGGTAACTTTCGGCTTGTGAAGGCTCTGTTGTGGAGGGATAGGTTAACAAATATAGGGAAATAAGATTATCCCCCCTATTGATATACTTATCCTGACACAACAGGTCATGACTGCCTGCCCGTCCGTCCCCTCAATGTTGGATCCACTTGTCACCTACCTATCTTGGAAAAAGTGATTAGTAGTGAAAGAGCATGCTGGGAGCAAGGTGGTTGGAGGGTGTGTTCCAATGAGGATTGTTTTCACAATGTAATATGATCGAAGCAAGAAGAAATATTGCATGCTGTTGCTGAGGGAAAAGTATATCAATAAGGGGAATACTCTGATTCCCTATGTTTCCATTTCAAGTCCTGCTATTTGTAGGACCATCGCTGCTGT